GACTGGCCAATTTTGACGTCCTGCACGTCGAATCCAGCAATAAGGTTAGCTGATGTCAAAATGCTGACGAGCAAGAACACTGAATAAATTGATGGATACTGCGTGGTAGGAAATCATAATGAAGACAAGAGAATTGAAACTGTCCACCACTGTTTACCACTTTTATTTGTAACTAACGTTACTGTAACTAAAGTTAGTTACAAATGAAAGTGGTAAAAAACATAGAAAGTTTCAACTCTCTTAACCACATATTGCCTTTTACAAATACCGGCTCTTCTTTCAGCAGAATGGGTAAATGATCTCGCAATAAGTCAGTGAAGGAATCACCTTTTAATCTTTCTGGTAGAAAAAATGGGCCAATTAAGCTGTCACCAGTCATTCCTACACAAAGGATCATAGAAAATTGTTGCTGAAGGATGACTTTCTTCAATAACGTAGAGATTTTCGTCGGCCCGAAAATGGTCATTGTGAAAATTCATAATACCATCTCGTGAATAAAATATTTGGTAAATCAACTACCTGCAAAACAATAATCTTCGGTAAAAATCCCGAGGCAGCAGAGCTTGGACCCGCTGTAGGTAATATGGGTATAGAAGGTTTCTTTTTAGAACTATATCCATACGGTTTTTGGGCTGACTTCCAGGTGCAATCTTCTGGTACCATTTGAAGGTTCATCAAGTATAGCTTCTCCTAGTTCAGGCGTTGTTACAGTTTCTGGTCTTCCACCACCTGCATTCTTATCAAAAGTCTCAGTTTCACGCTAGGAATCGCACGTAGAATTTCGTTATTCTTGTTTTTATTTCTGAAGGTTGTCGTTTGTGGAGGAGCAGAAAACCTGAAATTTTTCGTATATTCAAAGAGGTAGTATTTTTCTGTTGAACAATCTGATGAATAAAAAATATCCTAGGGAAAAATATTTGCTTTTGGACATTAATTTCATGTCAACGTATATTAATATGGCTTCATTTTTTATCATTTCAGGAAGTATTCATGATCCTGACAGCTCAAAACCCATTTTCACTATAAAAAACATATATTCATAATCTACTTTCGAATTATGTCTTGTCGAAAAATTATTTGTATTCGTGAAAGTTTATTTTCGAAGAACTCTACCGACATCGACATGAGAAACAGAAGTGACCTTATTTGAGACAACAATAAATTACTGCTTATGTTTTATTTTAATGACATTGTCGGCCAGAACAAGAATGTGACGTGTGCGAATTATTTCATCAACGTAGGCTTATGGTTATTTTATGTTTTAATTAAATTGAAAAAGATAATAGACGTACGCGTATTCTGCAGGAATTCCCTTTTTGCTCTCTCGGATACAAGGAATGAAATTGTCATTTTCATTCCTCAAATCGCGCAGCATTTAGTTTTTTGGTCTCTTATTGTTCATGTACTACTTCAACATCAAAATGAGATATTTAGTTGTATTCCTTATGACCTTCGCTCGGCTATAAATGTTTTATTGTCTGTAATTGTTCTGAAACATGGAAATTAATTAATTTAATTAATAAAAACTTCCATGATTCATTATATATCATTAGCTCCGTTAATTTGCTTACGTAACAACAAAAAAATCACTGACACGTAGCAATTAGCTGGTAACTATATTCTAATTAAAATTTTATGTTCAGAAAAATTATTATTTCCCAACAAAGTATTCTTGTACTAGAATAATCAATCTTCTTGAATATTGCTTCTTCAATATCACTTTCCGTTGTATAGTTTTCATTAAAACTTTTGTGGTATACCGAGTGTCTAATATGACCTGTCGCGATATAGATTACACTATCACTTTCACATACTCCATAAATGTAGGGCATGTTTAGCTGATCATTGGAAAGGATGCTTGAAAGTTAAACACCTGTTTTAGCCAATATATATATATA